GGAAGAAAGGTCACAATCATACAATGTTATGCACCTACAAATAATGCAGAGCAAGAGAAAAAGGAGGAATTCTACAGACAACTGCAATCAACACTGGACAAGACCTCAGTTGGCGATATCAAAATTCTAATGGGCGACATGAATGCCAAACTGGGAGGGGACAACAAAGGAAGAGAACTAACCATGGGTCGAGAGGCGCTAGGTGAAATGAATGAGAATGGAGAATTGTTTGCAGAATTCTGTGCATTCAACGATTTGGTGATTGGAGGCAGTGTGTTCAGGCACAAGGATATCCACAAAGCGACATGGATTTCACCAGATGGATACACTAAAAATCAAATCGACTTTATCTCAATCTCAAGAAAATGGAGACGCAGTCTACTTGACACAAGGTCAGTCAAGAGGAGGAGCAGATGTAGGTTCAGACCACTTACTGTCTAGTGCAAGGAACCTTCCAAATCAAGTTAAAAGCCTTCAAGGAAGCTGGTGATAGACCTCAACCCAAGTACAACACTCGGAAACTGAAGGATGAAACTACAAAGGAGATCTTCAAAGCAGCCATCAAGACAAAATGGGAGACATCGAGCAACATCCCTAAAGAAACCTGTGTGGAAGAACACTGGAAGTCTTTGAAAGCTATGTGGAAAGAAACCTGCACAACAGTATTAGGAAGGAAGAAGAAAGAAGACAAGGAATGGATCTCGACAGATACCTGGAAGCTGATAGAGGAGAGGAGGATGGTGAAGCAGAAGTTGGACCAGTGCAAGGATGCTCAACGACAAGAGGAACTGAGCACAATGTATAAAACACTGGATAAAGAAGTGAAGAAGAGTGCACGCAAAGACAAACGACACTTCTACGACACACTGGCAAGTGAAGCAGAACAGGCTGCAGGTAAGAGAGACCTGACGACATTGTATCAAATAACCAGGTTGCTATCAGGGAAGAGACCAACACAGATGAAACCAATAAAAGATGAAGAAGGAAATTTAATTACAAAAGAAGAGAAACAGAGGAAACGATGGGCCGACCACTTCAAGAAGCTCTTGAATCGACCACCACCTGCACTTCGTCCAGAAATACCACCTGCAGCCGCTGAACTACAAGTGAACATAAATCCCCCAACGAAAATGGAAGTCCTGAACGCCATAAAGCTACTGAAATGTGGGAAAGCAGCAGGACCAGATGGAATACCGCCAGAAGCACTGAGAACAGATGCAGAGACAACAGCCGACATGCACACACCACTATTGCAGAAGGTGTGGAAGGAAGTGAAGGTACCTGCCTGTCGACTGGAAGAAGGGTTACCTTGTCAAACTGCCGAAGAAGGGAGACCTCAGTGCTTGCAAGAACTGGCGCGGAATCACTCTCCTGTTCATCCAGAGCAAGCAAAATATTAGGCCGCATCATCCTGGAGAGGCTTAAAGATGCACTGGATTCAAAACTGCGACCGGAACAGGCAGGCTTCAGAAAGTACAAATCATGTGCAGACCAAATTGCAACGTTACACTTCGCATCATCATAGAACAGAGCATAGAATGGCAATCAGCTCTCTACCTCAACTTCATCGACTTTGAGAAGGCCTTTGACAGCGTCAACCGAGAGGTAATTTGGAAACTGCTTCATTACTATGGAGTACCGCTAACCTTTATTCGCCTCATTCAACAACTATATGAAGATGCTACATGCCAAGTAATCCACAATGGGAAGCTCAGTGATGCCTTTGAAGTGAAGACAGGAGTGAAACAAGGTTGCCTACTATCCCCCATGATATTCCTGATTGTGGTGGACTGGATCATGCAGCAAACAGTGGGGAGCTGTGAGAAGAGGGGGATACGCTGGACGGCGGAAAAGAACCTAGAAGACTTGGATTTCGCCGATGACTTGTGCATAATGTCACATAAACTTGAAGATCTGCAGGCAAAAACTAACAAGTTGATAGAAGAGGCAGCGAAGGAAGACGGGACTTCAGGTGAATATAGAGAAGACAGAAGTGATGAAGATACCGCACCACCACCATCAACAACAACAACAACAACAAACTCCAATCACCGTCAACGGGAGAAACTTGAAGGAAGTAACCTCCTTCACTTATCTAGGAAGCACTGTTTCAACTACAGGCGGGACGGACGAGGACGTCAAAGTCAGAATTGGAAAAGCAAGATAGGCGTTCATTAGCCTGAAACCAGTGTGGAGATCTTCTGCACTCAGCATGTGGAACAAGATACGGATTTTCAACACCAACGTCAAGTCAGTGCTCTTGTATGGTTCAGAGACTTGGCGCGTCACGAAAGGCATTTCCAATAAACTACAGACATTCATCAACAACTGCTTACGCTGGCTCGATACTAAAGATCTGATGGATTGCCAGAAAGAATAAGCAACAAGGAGCTCTGGGTACGAACCAATCAAGAACCTATCACGCAACAAATATGCAGGAGGAAGTGGAGATGGATTGGCCATGCACTGAGAAGGCCGACTGAGGACATCACGCGTCGGGCCCTCGAGTGGAATCCCCATGGGAAGCGACGAGTTGGACGTCCGAGGGTGACATGGAGGAGGTCGTGCGAGGAGGAAATGAGAGCTTCTGGGCTGTCGTGGTACCAGGTTCAAAAGATCTCAGAGAACAGGATGAAATGGAGACGTGCTACTGAAGCCCTATGTTCCACTAGGAACCCAAGGGACTAATAATAATAATAATAATAATAATAATAATAATAATCAGGAGTATTTAAATGTCTTCACCGCCACTTTTGGAGTCAATTTATGCTTATATCTGTTACGATTTTTAAGCATATTAGGCTATAAAATCTCTTAAATGCACGTGATAGGGTCATTCTTTATGTCAATCTAAACAGTGTGGGTAAACAGTGAAGCAACAAAGCTTAGTTGCCTCCTTTGTTAAAAAAAGATTTTTGGACTAAATTAATGCTTAACTCAAACAACGACCATTCTTAACTCCAGTTGAAACTAAATGAAGTTCCTTCAGGATTCACTTTGATCATAACATTAGTTGTTTTAACTCAGTGATTCACATTTCTATACTTCTTCGTATTCACAGCATGATGGATATGTCACTGACTGCCACTCTTGGACACTCATCCCTAGTAACAAGTCGACTAAAGTTGCAGTTTACTGCTATGTCACAGAACCTTAGAACTTTCGTCTCAGTTCAATTTGATATTCGTTAGCGAATTATATAACATTCACATGTGTGAGACTGACTCATAGGTGACAGTTGACAATATTTACAACGAACCTACAGATTATGGATAAGTGAGTCTAAACTCAGTTAATAAATGGTAGTATAGTCGCAACAGACCATGAAGGGGATTTTTCTGATTTTTGTAGGGTTAGAAAATAGACTAGTATCTGAAATAAACACCTGATGAATCCTTAATTTCAAGTTGGGATTGATCACGGAGTGATATTAGTTGGAACATCACTTAAAATCAGGAAAGACTGGACATCTGTTTCATCCTAGTATGTGATTCTTCATCAGTGTGCACCAATCCATCTGTTGGGGATCCAACCCAGGACAATCAGCTTTCACGATCACAAATTTATAGTTAAGCCACCGGGTGAGAATCCAACAGTCCCCTCTTTTCTACTTCCGCATGTAGATTTTCAGTGTAGTCAGCCCTTCATTCAATTCCATCGTCGAGTACTTGTCATCATGTCCGGCTTTGTTTGCCTATGATTTCTCATTGGAACTTCAAAAATCTCATCTTGAATTATGTCACTAATGAGCCTTGGGCCGCAATTTGGTTTGAAGGTTTGTGAGAATTTACTTGTTGACTGCAGATTAGTATTCATCATGATCTGACATCATCTGCAGAACCGTTGAAAATCTTAAACCATTAAGCAACTCAACCTTCATATCTTTGAAGAGGGTCGTAGAACTAGGTAAGTCTGATTAGAAATAACTAATGGTCATCTATAACTAACTTGAGGATTTTGTAATGCTATGTACTTTCGGAGTCATAATGATTCTGAGTATCTGATTAGTTATGGGGAAACCTATCAGGGACGGTGCAGTGAAACTCACTGACGTTGACAGTGCTGACAACTGCTGATACCTAATGGGATGCCTGACTAGTATCATGAGAATTCTGAAATCATCAGTTCGACACTGTACTACAAAATATATGCACTGAAATAAAGACAGAAATGACGTACTTATCGAAATAGTGAATTTATACAGCGTACTATCAGTCAATTTTCATAAAAATTCTTTACACTTTAAGTTGGACAAAGATTTTTTAATACTCTTGAAACAAAAATAAGCTAATTGTAAATTTCTTACAGGTTGCCTAAATGGACTTTTATTCATTTGTAAAATGAAACAAACTTCCCAGTTGTGAATTTTTGATCTGTCTTAATGGAAAAACAGTATGCAAAAATATGGAAAGATAATTCAGAATTTGATGTTTTGAGCAAATAACATTTTGATATCAAGTAATGAATACTCGTTGTTAACTGATAAACATTTCATTTTGTATCTGAAAGATACAGCTGTTGAGTGATATCTTTCTTATTGAACTCCACTAGATTATTAAATGACGTTGACCACTCCTTGAGTGATGGGCATAAATGTCTTAAAATACAGTGAACTTGCTCGGATTCGCTAAGTTCATCCTAAATCAGAAGTGTTTATACATGTTTTTGTTTCATCTAGCGGTTTTGTTTGAGCTCTAAAGATCATTTATTCGTATTGAAGTGCCATTCAATTCTAAAACTACTTGTACAGTAGTGTAGATATTGTCACTGAACTGTTGATGGCAAAGATGAGCGGAAAGGTTGTAGTCTAAAAATAAACTTGGATGCTTACTGTTAACCATTATGAAGAAATTTATTTTGTATCTACAGACTTTGTTTTAGTTACAATAATATGTATACATATTTCTGTATCCGAAATGATGATTTTCGTCCAACGACCCTCATTTCTTTCTCTTATTCTCTTGACTATACACTGTATGTTTAACTTTTTCAATTTACAGAAGTGGACTGTAGAGTCAGTGAATGGGGTCCGTGGACAAGTTGTAGTTATGCATGTGGTCCAAGTATTAGTACACGTTACAGACAAGTGGAAATTAAACCAGTTAACGGAGGAAAACCATGTCCTGATTTAAATGAAACAAAACCATGCACAGGAGAGAATTGTGCAAGATTTGGACGATCTGGAACTTTAATGGTACCTTACGTTTATGATATAAAAGGTAAGCGAGTATTTAAATAAGTTGAAAATTCAGTAGAGTTTCACTTGATGTCTAACTTGACTATGTGTTTAACTATTTGACATAGCCGTGCTTTAGCAGACTTGTAATAATACTGCGGGATGATTAAAGGTGAAATGAAAATTTAGGTCACAGCATGATTCGAACCAGCGATCACCAAATTAGTTAGGAGACCAAACTGCTGACTAGGTAGTAACGTGTCACAGATTCACATGACAGTCGGGCGAAATCCTTGGTGACTGAAGTGAAATAAAAAGTGAGTCGGCAGTCGGATCTCGTAGTTCAGTTGCTAGAACACCAGGGTGGAAATCCAGTGGTCCTTGGTTTACTTCCTATTGCTGCCCAAAATTTCATTTCACCTTCAATCATCATACAATATGTACCGTTAATGCTAAGTAAACTATTCCAATGCATTGAATATTTCGGGGATAAGACTAATAAAAAGATGGGATGTATATCAAACCTCATTAAGCTACTATGCATACACATTCGGACAACATAGATCCAGCTTAATAACTCGGATAACGAGTCATTTTTCGAGTGAAAGGCCTAGTTATCTTGAATTCTATTCATTGAAAGAGATAAAACAGGCAGCAGTATAAAAAACAATCATTCATTATAGAAATTTGTTTCACAGAGGAAAATAAATTCGTAACAATGAATGATAAGTTAAGTTAATCAGTGTGAAATTTGAAAACACTCATAGTTGATCAGCGTTGCCAGTAGCAATGTTTCCATCACATGTGTAAGTGTACTTACTGATGTATGTACAATTTGTGTATGTCAAACTCGCTTGTTTTAATTTTCACCTATTCAAAGTTAAATCTTTATGATTATTCTAAAGAAGATTAACAAGAAGCAAATTCTTTGACAAAACATTCATCATGATCCAAACAAACTATGATTATTATTCTAAAGTGATTGTTCAATCTGATCACTTGTACCTTATTGATTCGTTCTAATGAAGTAACCGTATACCCTATGAATTACCCTATCGTAGTTCTACTTATCGCTTGTTCCAAAAGATTGAAGTGTGATATTACTGCTTTACTCGTCGTCTTGTGTAAAAATGTTCTTGAAGATGATATGAATTACACACAGTGTATGTTTCGCTTGAAATACTTTTGTTAACTAATCTCTCAATCATCAGTAATCCACTTCACTGAATTTACCACTAGTGATATCAGTAAACATTTGAATCTCACTCAACAGAATCACTTTTATCAATGAATATGTAATATCTTCGCTTATAATAATAATAAACACCCTTCAGAAATAATATTTTGGACATTTCAGTTTCGTATTCATCACAGACTGATATCAGCTGGAGACTCACTGAAACCCTGAGAGCATTGGACAGCTGCTTAGCCTAGATATGAGACTCCTTAACAGTGCGTACCCATGACCCTCTCCCTAACAGGGATCGACCCGAGGACCTCAAGGTTTCGCTGCCAGGACATGAGTCATTTAGCCAGTGGATCGAAATCCAACGATCCATATTTGCATGCTTCTGTTAGTTCGTGATATAGCGCAAACTTCATCAAATTTTGTTGTTGAGTAACCATCCAAAGGTTCGATTTCATTCGCCCTACTGGCCTTGACTTCGTGATATTCATCCCGAAACATATCACTAATGAGTACAGAAGCAGGTAAAAATATTGAGCATACACAGTCAGCTCTCAGTGGGGCAAACCAAGTCTGAAGCGAGAACTGTTAGTCAGCAACTGAATTAGATGAAGGTGGCGCTTTATAAAAATAGGAAACAGTGGACCATTAGATTTTGACCGAGCGACGTGCTTACCACGAAACCTGAACGGCCTGGGTTCGACACCTGACGAGTGAAGTCATATGTGAACATTGCTCAAGAGTCCCACACTAGGACAAAACAGCCGTCTAGTGCCTCCAGACTTTCAATGGTTTTCCAAATGATGTCAATCCGTGATGAATATCAACCTGAAATCAGTAAACATTCCCACCAAAATCCAAACTAGACTTCAGTCATTATTGAAAGAAAGGTTTATGAAGACGAAGTTTTGAAAATATCTTCTTTTATAAAAGACATGCGATGAGGAGACTTCAGGTTAAATGTCTTATGGAGGACTTTGCTGAAAACAGGGTTTAAAAGAAGCCAACTTCGATGCACCGAATTCTATTGTTTATTTTGAAGAAAGACACAACTCAAGAGTGGAAATAACACCTGGTGGGCATTTGTTTAGTAATGATCCTAGAAGGACCATATACTCATGTATTTTGCTACTTTCCATTTGCGATAAGTTTCTATGAATTTCTCTCATAAATTCTGTTAGACTTCATATCCTTACATCTGTAATTCCAGGCTATGGACTTTGTTAGGTAATATGATCAACTGTGTAACACCACAATAACAAGTCACATGTTTACAAAACTGAATTAATTGTCGTTCATTGTCGCTTTGCTATAAAAATGTCCTTGTCAACATTTTTAGCCATCGTCTGTTATGTGGTTGAAGTAAATCTACTTGGTGTTATAGTGTTCTCAAATTTATGATATCAATGTACTGAATAGTGATGTTTTAGTGCCACATGCACACAGAAGGTATTGAATTAAATTTATGCGTATGTGGACGTAATTGTTTAGGAATATGAAAACAGAAATTTGTGCTTCCTTTCATTTTGGATTCTGAATGTAAATTTTCGTTACTATTTATTAACATACTAGTTATTCTCCGTTAATTGTTGTGTTGGATCGAATTGTTTGACCTCTTTTGGTATGTGGGCTCCTATGCGGATGCCTCGATATTGTTTGAATGTTAATTATGATAATTTGATTGGTTGTGGCCAGCAGAAGAATCCAGGACGAGTCCCAAATAGGACGAAACGCGCGTCCTGGATTCTTCTGCTAGCCACAACCAACCAAATTATTGTAAGTTTTTGTATTAGTTCGTTAACATAGAAATGAAACCATTTATAAACTTACGTAAAACATCAAATCTTATGTATTATTAGTACTGGTAGTATAATAGAGATGTAAATTTACAGACTTATCTGGTACATTACTGTCTTGATATTGCCCACAAGATACCAAATTTTTTTCATTAAATTACACACAGGGTAAGTCATCAGTTAGTAATTTTGCTTAACAGTGAAATTTACCGTAAATAATTCCACCGGGTTTTAGAATCAAAGTTATTTATTCAGTTAACAATAAGTTTATTCATTAAACTGCACTATATGAAATGGAACCGAACTCATCAATCATATGCATGCTTAAGTGGTAAGCGTTGAGACACCTATTGTACTTTATGGCTAATGCTACTACCTGGCTAGGCTAACTTCTGTAGGTAGAGTGGGGTTCGAACCAGCTACCCACTGCTTGAAAGTCGAGTGCTCGGACCAGTAGGTCACAGCTGCAGAAACCTTGCTGTTTGACTTCATCCTATACGTTGAGGATAATCAGTCACTAACCGTTAACATTCTCCTCTCGTATTGCAAATTAATTTTTGATATCCTATTATTCAAATACACTGAGTTACATTACCGGTAACACGGTTGGTTCGTTGTGCACAAGGTCATACAATGGATGATTCATATTCAAATACCAAATACCTTGTTTATCATAATTGACCTTTATTCAATGTGAAATGATTCGTTGGCATACCTATGATACAATAAAACTGCCTTCTTTTCACTTCAAAACAGTTGAAAAAACCAATAAAAAGGAGACTAGAAGTATCCTCCGTATTTTTCTCTAGTCTAATTCATTCTACTTATGAGTAGATTCAGAAACTTTATAGATCATTGTTTGTCTAATAATAGCATAGACAAAAAAGTGGAGTTTTAGTAAGCAATGCATTTCAAAAGACAATATCGAAACAGTTCCTACCTAAACGGATTGGTGGATTTCTACCAGCTATATATCGGTTTCAGTTAATGAACAGTGGTTCGTATCACATATATATTCAACAATTAGTGGCCTTTTTTATGACTTTGTTTACACTGGATACATAAGCCGATTTTCTGCTTTTCTCCTTATACACGTATGAATCAGCAAGTGGCAACAATGCTGATGAAGAAGATGATGGTTATGACGGAAAGGAGGAGGGAACAATTTTTTTATGTAAACAGATAAATTACTAATCTTGTCAAATATGGCCGGTAAAAGATTAGAGAATAACACCGTGGGGTTTTAAAAAAAAGGCGAAAAGAAAGCAAAGATAGACCACAAATTGTGTAGATCATAAAAAAATAGAGAGAGAGAAAGATTGAGGTCAGTTGTGTTTACTGTTCGTCTGTTATTCTGATATCGAAATGCTGGATTAAGCTTTGTTTGTCGTTTTTGTTAAAATCTGTTGTCTGACTTTTATAACGTTAAAGCTAATATCTATCTATGTAGCGAGAATACTTCAACATTTTATTGGTGGAAAACTTTTATGTATCTATAGAATGGCGTGTTAATAGTTGATGGTGGTATAACTGTTTTTCATTGACTTCACGTTAGGTAAAATTAATCCTTTTTACAAGTTGTGATGGGCAGATATCATTCTGCAAAATGAATCATTACAAGTTTGTCGAACAGTTCAATAAGGCAATCTCATTTGTACCCATTGAAATGTTCATCGCAAAGAATATGGCAAGTCTACGTCAACTGATACATCAGTGCTAAGTACGTACTGGTGTAATGGGTGCTACTGATAGGAATGGTTGTAAGTAATATATGTTGAGAGATCGGTAGAAGTCACAAACAGTTCTAATTTTCGTGCTCCAGAACTTCTGCGCCGTCACCTCCCTGTCCGCTGGGCTGCCAAACTCCGCCTCCAGTGGTTCAACCATTCTCCCCCAAATCTCCTTACTATCTACGCGTTCCACACCGTCATACGCAGCTTTCGCCCTTCCCCTCAGCAACGTGTCAAGTATCATGGCCTTTGCACCTTCAGTTATAACCCAGTAAAAAGACTGAGGTGCAAGAAGGATTGTTTATCATGACATTTTTTATAGTACTAGATCTAGATCACAGCAGAATGAACACCAGCGATTTGTCAACTCACGGCTATCTCAGATAGTCAAAATGATGATTATTATGATACTCTCTCTCCCTAATTTAGCTCGACTTGAATTTGGATGAGAAGTCCTGACTGGACAGCTGGTGAGAATACGATAAAAAGACAGTAATGCGCCACGAATTCACATGAAAGTCAGACAAGACCTTTGGTGAAGATCTGATCAGCAGTCGGGTCTCGCAGTTCATTTGGTGGAGCAACAGCCCGGTAACCCGGAGGCTGCTGGTTGGAAACCTGCCTCAGGCCAGATTTAATACTGATTTTCAATAACAATAATAATAATAGCAATCAGTATGCGTCCATGTTGTGATAGGGTATGCCAGCGAATTATCCACTCATCAGCCGCATGATTATCTGCACATCTATGCCTTATATATGGTATCTTGGAAATTAACTCAAGATTTAACTATTAAGAAGTCAACATTGTTAGTTTATAGATAATAAGGAAGCTGAATGGAATAAAATGCAATCAGACTAGATACCTTTTTATATAACAAGTCAGTGAAAGTTTTGGAAGACTACAGATAAGGTCAGATGACAGTGGCGGCAGTCAAGTGGTCATGTGAAAAAGCTTTTAACGACTAAAGCTGGTAACTGGGCAAGAAAAATACTGGTAGTACTCATATACTTAATAATAGTGAAGAAAGTCAACAGCTTAAATGGGTATAGTAAGTAAAAACTGAGTGTAGAAGACAGCTTTAGCAGTGAAGGGTATACCCAAAGACGTTTTGAGAAGGATTTCGATGGTATACTGTGATATAATGTCCTATATTGACTGTTAACTTTTCTTACAGGTGTAAGATAACATTTGCGAGTTTGGTGTTGTCTTCAGTTTGAAAAAAATGGTAAGCACAACGGAAAACATTATACACTTTAAAGGTATTCTGATCAATTATTCGGTTTTCTGATGACTCTAAGGCGGTGGCTCATTGATTCTTAAAATCTATATTCAACTAATGATTCATGTGTTCAAATTCCGATCCATCCAGAAAAATTTGAGCAGCCATGTAGAGTATTATGAACTGCTACACAATAGGTTTAATATATTGCCTACTGTATGAATGTGATCGAAATTTCTGAATACATTTCAATTCAAAAGATTTCTTTGGTGACTTGTATTATCATTCTGTTGACATTAGTAAGCAAATATTTCAGCGGGTTACTCAAATCTTGCAACTACACTGGATATAATGCTTCATTGTATAAAAACACTGAATTCGCATACGAATATAATGACTAGGTTTATTGTCCTACTTTTTTTCCTTGTCTTTGAGTAATATTACCAAGATCATAATTGTCTTATTTTGTACTGATATACTTCAGTTATAGCTATTTTATCATTGAAGTGAGTTCTTTTTCTAATTTTATATACAATATGATTGATAAACAGCGGAAGTGGCGCATTTGTTGCCTGTGCGTGGAGATGTACTCGATTTGACCCGACGTTACGATATGCGTTTTGACGTACGACGTAAACTTTATTTGGGTAGATTAATTAAAATGAATAAAACTGAGCAACCGGAGCCTGATCCGTAAGTTTTTCATCAAATTATTCTTAATATACTCACTTCTTTATTATTTTGTATTGAATATTTTGAGTTAGGCTGCCACTGAAATCCTGAACATAATTTATCATACAACTGATTTCGAGGTAATATTAGACAGCAGTAATAAACAATTCAGTGAAGCCACCGTCGATACTTAGCCCCAAGAGCTAAAAAATTCATTTTTTCAGTAAACGAGTAGAGATTATTGATCCAACCAAATTTAGGGTGATGTTCAAGTAACGGTGATAACTCTTGGAACAAACAAAATCGAAAGAAATATACTTCACTACTGTTTATTAATTATCTGATTGATACAGCTTTGCAATAGGCGTAAAAGTAACATCGAATCCCATATAGCTTTCTGTACGAAGTAATGAAGAATGAACCTTGGTGATAAACTCTTCATAAGTCATGAAATAAAAATACTTATTGAAACTACTTAACATTGTCAGATGCTTCCCCTATAGCAAGTCGTTTTTAAAAGAGTCAAGTTGTGAAGCTTTGTTTACACTGTACAAATCAGGGTTCGATTGATGAGACAAAATCACTAACCACCTGCAAATTTTACACTGTACCTCAATAATTCTCACAGAGTGTTCTAAACCAGCCGAAGTCACTAGTAATGATACGACTTTAATGTCAGTAATTACTCCTTTACAACAAGAAAAGTAGGGTTCTTTTCCTGAGATGTAACAGAAGTTATTGAAGTAAAATAAATGTAACCATGTGAACCACCTTGCCGTTTAACAGCTCTCTAAACCTGTTTGGGCCGGGTAATCAACTATAGTTTACCTTTGCTATCGGTTACATGAACTGAATCCTTTCAGGAATCACTTCAAAAAAATCTAGTCATTATGTTGTTGTTTGTATTGTCCCGTCGTCGGCTGAACCAAATTGATCGGATTATATTGACATCCATTATAAATATAAAGTTGAAACAGAGGCAATAGAAACTGATCAAGTTGATGCAGTCAACGATGGGATAAGAAACAGTTATTGTGGCTCAGTGACATTTGAAGCTATCAGTCTTAGATTTGAGTTCTAGTGGAAACAACATTGCTTGCTCGGAGATGGGGACATACAGCTGATAAGTCCCAAATAGGACATAACATGCGTTCTGGACTCAACTACTATCCACTATTTACCATGAATATCAAGCTGAGTTATTATTTGCCTCTCCCTAGTCCATCAAATAAAATTTCGTTACGAGATAAATGCAGCTGAAGTCGCTCAGCCTGATGATAAAACACTCAAGAACAAAAAATCAAACAATTACCAGTAAAACTCTGAATATGTGGTGTAACTTTCAACTTATCTCACCTTTAGGAAAATAACGCAACTGCGTTACTTCAAGACATCTCCAGTTGTTAAACTATGTGAACTTTGTGATTTAAGAAAGTTCTTCATGTTCTCTGCATGTATGTATAAACGATGTAAAATGGCACTTTGTTGTCACACTACAGAAGTAGATAAAGATGTTTGATATTTTAATAAAACTAACCATTTATATTAGAAATTCAAGGTAACTGTGCATTCCATAACAACCATACTGTTAATAAATTCCGTCCAGTGTAATCAAAATAGGCTGAATTATGATACAGTTTAATGTGAAGGTTTGAATGATGCATCGAAGGTTTTATGATGATTCACTTGTCATATGTTATGATTGGCAACAAAATTACTGCTGTACAAACATTTCCCATTATTTATATATATATATATATATATATATATATATATATATATATATATAAATGTAAAGGAATGTACAAATGCACCGATACATTCCAAAGTGGCGTGAATCAACCGAATATCAAGAAGCCCATCACTCTAAACATTTATTTCGACAGCTTTCAGTACCCAGTGGTGCAAGTTTGTTTTTACATCAAAATAATTACACTGGTTGCTAATGGTAACAGCAATATTTAATACAAACAAAATAGTGAGTAGATTTTTTAATAGCAACACCATAATCATATTTAAAATGACATAAGGTTAAAATGTTTCACAGTGAATACTCTTTTGGAACTGAATTATTCCTCTCTATCCATATTCAGCTGTATATCATATTTATTATCTAACGTCGACAGAAAGAATTGAAAAACGGATTCGGGTAAACTATAAAAACCCAAGAATTTATTCGTTAGCTATTACATAAATAGGCATGTAGATAAAAGCTTAGACAATCTGTCAAGGATAAAATCTGTTCATGGAAGTTATGTGTCAAGCAAAAGGTAAACGCATAGACATACAGACGTAGGACCTTTGACCACTGAATGGTTTTAGATAACAGCACTGACAGTAGTAGTAACAGTATTAGTACGAGAAAGACAGGGAGAAAGAATACTGCTAGTATTCATTATAATGGTGTTAAGAAAAACCAGGTAGGAAAATTTTATTTTCGTAATGCATATTTAAAGACTTTAGAAGGAGTGACAGTGAATACCAAGGGGTCTAGCACACGAAGTAGCCATTACTGAGCTGTTATCACATGTTGATTTGGGGAAGGTATTGGACATAAAGAGACTTGGTTCTGCTTTGCAGTACCCCAGTAGATATAAGAGGTTTATTGAAGTTTATTCACTTCAAGTTGGTATTCATCACCAACCGACACCAGTCGGGGAACCACTGAAAACCTGGGAGCACTAAACAGCTGTTTTGTTCTGGTGTGCGACTCTTCATCAGCACGCATCGCTTTAAAATTGATATATTCTGCCCGTCTACGAGTGACTTACTTCTAGATGGACATCTCGAAGTTCTAGCGAGGACCTTTGGTCTGTGTGTCATTCAGACTCGAAGTAAAGTGACTACCCACTGATGATGTTGGTTGATGATAGCGCTACGTTGCTAAGTAACAGAAGTGAGGGATTCTGGGCCGTCTGGATCTTACCCATTGATTCAATGCTGACGTGCTCGCTACGATATTTTGCAGAGGTCTTGGGAGCACACTGCAGACGGGTCCATATCATAACATACCTGCCATCCAATGCTCCCCGATTTTCAATGGCTTCTTGATTAGTGTCCGTGAACAGTAACACTGAATTTTCATTATAATATGAACTCTTAGTAGGAAAGCAAAGCCATGAGAAATGTCTACATGAACCTCGAAGTTTGTTAATCATTTGCAAATTGATCATCCTATTTAAGGTGGCATACAGGTCCGTCCAAGTCAGCTAGCCAGATTCGGTTTATCTAAACAATTTGGCTGTGTGAGCTGAATTTGTCCGGTTGCACAGCTGATAAGCTTAGTGTCAAACAATTGAAATGGTCGTCTGGTGCTTAGCTCACTATTATCTCACCTGTTAAGCGTAAAAATCAGCCTAAGTAGTTTCAATCGACTCAAGTTGATATTTTTTTATTCCCTCAGCCTAAGAATCTAGAAGAGAGGAGAGCAGACACATAAAATGTGTTTATGCTTGGTAGCAATGGCAATTGATAAAAGTTAGTAATACACAAACAAGAAGACAAGACTACTTGAAAGTAGAATTTAAAAGTAGGGAAAGGTTTTGAAACGCATCACAGACTGCTAACCATATCAAAGAAGAGTAAAGGATTTCAGTATCCATGTGCATCCATTTACTTGGAAGACGTCATCACTGTCCAGCCTTTTTTATATTAAGACTTTTTATGTTTCGTTGTTGATTGGGTAAAATCAAACTGATTGATCTGCTTTGACGTATATGCTCCTATCCGGATGTCTTGATATAACCGATGATTTCATTCTGATATTAAGTACGGACAGGTTTGAATCACATTGGAAACATTATCACTCACTGAGGTGTAGGTATATTCGGTTGATGAGTTCCGAACAAGACAAAAACATCCTAGATTCCACGGTTAGCCACTACCCATCCTTAATCCAGTCTTATTGTTGTATTGTTATGCCAATGAGCATAAAGTTGTTTTCACACCTAGTTGTGATCCATCATCTTATCCAGACATTGTGTATGAAATGTGAATGTGATCTTGGGTGGGTACTTTAAAAGAGTAATCTTGTTGTTACCATATTTTCCCCGTTCACTGTCCAATGAGTTGTAGGGAATGCTAAATAAACGTGAAGGTTGCAAATAACTCGTTGAATTAACTATCCATTTTGCAATCTAGCAGTTCATCGAAGTCATCTTGGCTTTTTCAAGGGCACTGCTGATAAGCCTGCGGCTAAATGACCCGAACAGAACATAAGAATTCAGACCTGGATTATGCGGCTAGTCAAATCTAAAGTTGGATGAGGATTTTTTGGCTTACTCATGCTACTCAGCAAGAACTCACTGATTAATTGTCTTTAGCTGGCGGAGACTATGATAAAAACAACTAGGGTCCTCAAGTCCAATTAACTGGGGTAAAAATGATACAACTACGTATCATACTCTATTCTAGTTTCATTTAGAAGTCAAAATGCGCCAACAAGAAGTATAATCCCCTTGATTTAATTAATCATGCCAAGAATAGAAGCCATAAATGTGAACCATAACCCTTATTTGTAACACATCTAAATTTCTTGAAGCACCAAGAATAATATGTCAGTCTCACTCGTGAGAGAGTGAACTTTACAAACTCTAGGTTCAGTTTACGTTAAATGGAAGCAGCCTATTTGGGAGAAATTTACCATTACAAACGAGTCTGTCTCCACGGTTCATTACTAGTTACGTTAACATGTAATCAACGAGACGACTATCTGACGTTAAGATCGCTTCCATTTGTCTGATAGAAGTTAATAATTGGTTAGAGTGGTTGAAGATTACTCACAAGTAGCTAGTTATATCCACAGAACACTATCCACTCTAAATATTGACAGTCATCCTTTTCACAAGACTTGTTTCTTAACAGATCACTGCTGTTTAAGATAAATACTTTCTCATGAATTCACCATGTTTTTAGCGTCTAATTTAAGTAGTTCCCCTCAGCAATACGTTTCACAGTTGTAATACTTTATTGATATTACTCACACTTAAAACGCCTACTGACAACTTATTCTTCACAATTTCTAGATATTGTGCAATATACGAAATTACGCATACAAATCAAGCTTGCCAAGCACACAATTTACTATGGCAATTTTCATCATCAGGTGATCAATATCCTTCATATTATTATCCTAATCGTTATAGACGGAATTACAATTATAATGGTCAACCAATTACCTTCAGTCGTAGTTCCTTTATGCATGAAAGACAATATAATACTCTTGGAAATATTGGTATGAATAAAAATCGGCATAATAATAATAATAATGGTGATGTTGCCGATGATATGAATACTCAATCATGGATTACTCATGCAGCATTGCTTATCCCAGGTCAACAGATCTGTGTTACATGTTATCCAACTTATATGCGTGAAGATCTGGGCTATCGATGCACTGGATCTGGACTACCAAATATCGAAACAAGATGGCGTGCCTTACGCACATCTGATTGTCAAGGTAGATTTCGTATGGTCAGTATGCCACAAAGATCGTGTACATGTGGTCGGGGTTCAGCATCTTTTGTATTTGTCTAAGGCGATAGATGCATTTACAAGGGCTGCACCATGTTTATTCAGTTATTCCTTCATAAATTTATTAACATTTTTACACATACATTATTACATGCATACAAATATGGAAACTTACAAGTTTATCTCAATACCTTCTATGTCTGAACACGTATATATTGTAGAGTTTTGCGCATAAACAATACAAGTTATTGCGTTGTCTTTTTCTCCTGAAGGTTACGCATTTATTCAAAAGAATTATTTAGTCCATTATTCTTCTACTCCTAACATGTCTGTTAATAAGCGTAGATTCTTCGATTTACATTGGTACAATGGTTTTCGAAATCTTCTCTCTTGTCATTACACTGTCATAAGTTCCTATAGACATCATCTGATGCTTTTTATTTCGTCGTGTTTGTTCCACAGTTTTAAAACTCTGTCTGTATGCCGAATAAATATGTAAGATACTACTCATTTGAAGGAGTCACAAATCACCTAACACACACACACACACACATTAAAGTGACTATTTTGACGTAATTTTAGCTGTTTTTCTCTTGTTATCAGGGTTAGCAGTTTTTTTTCAAGGAGGTAACTGATAATTTTATTTACGATTTGGTTACTTGCCACTTCTTGACTTTGCACAACTTTTACTATGATTAATTACAATTATCAATGTCTGTTTATTTTAATTTACTCAAGGTCATTAGCACCGACTTGTTTTAATCATTTCGCTTAAAAGTTATTTTGACTTCAGAAAAACAACAACAATATGACAGTTCAAGTTAATACTTAAAATAATTTCTAGCTTTGTTTAAAATTTAATAGGGACTTTTATCACAATTCAAAATATATATATATATATTGCCTATTTTTTATTTGTTGTTTATTCTACATGTCACGCACAATTCTTAAATGTTTACTCTATCCATTTTACTGGTTACTTAATAAGTTAGAATTTTTGAACAACAAAAACATATTATCTTTTTCAAAGTAAAACTTACGATTTACTCTGACTTATTTTTTCGGTTTGTTTACATGTTCATGGGTCATTACGTACTATCCGCTATATTTGTATTTTTGTTCATTTAAACACAAAAAATGCCTATCCTGGTTACCTGAAAACATGTTTGTGTTAAGAAACATTAATTGATTTTCTAAAATGTTCAACATGAACCTTTTATTGATGTATTGTTGACAATCACTATGCTTTTTTGTTATAAATTGTTCCACTATTTAGTGTTCAATATTACACGCACATTTATATGCGTAACTGTTTATATTTACAGGCTGTTCAGGTTATATCCACCGCTATCTTCGTTTCTCTTTATGCAACTGGCTTTACTTCTGAGGCATTATTATTCTTAATGGAGGTGTTTGTTGGCGTACCTTAAGGATTATTGATTTTTATTATACTCTTGCCAGTTTTCGAGTATTTTTATTGTACTTTTTGTTTCTTAGGTGCGTATGGTTTTACAGCTTCTACAAAGGTAGACAATATTATTGCTGATACTACCAGTACTGTTATGATTGTCATTATTAATGTAATAATTAATATTTTGGAAGGTGACAATAAAAATTTTCAAAAATTAGTTTTGTTTATCAAGTTACGTATCACCTGAGTCTTGGGTACATTTCTTCTATCAAAATATGACGGCATTTGGAATTGAGCGACTAACAGTATTCCTGAACCAGCTGAAGACATGGGACATTTATGCCGTCATTACTTAACCTATGCATATTATTCTCCAAAAAAGAAAGGACATAAACCAATTTAGGGAGGAAAATTTTCTTTCTTACCAATCATTTTCAGCAGCTATATAATCCTCGCCTTTTAGTAATAACAAACAAACAGATGAGTATATCACTGGCTAATAGGTCAACACCAGGTCATCAAGATGGAATGATCTAGGGTGAGATAGTGGATCGATTGTAGAGTTAGAAATGGGTTGCGTAATCAAGTGTGTGTATGCAGAAGATTGACGTGATGACTAATAGATTGAAAAATATAAACAAGTCAAAAATAATTATGTTAATTATATTTCAATGACATTAATAGAACTTTGAGTGGCTCATTTTCCGGCTTTGTCATCAGCTAAGACACGGGAAAGCTCGAAAATGGGCCACTTCAAGAAATAATCTCGGAACTTTATTTTTATAAAAGGTATATTGCCGATGCTTTTATTATTTATGATGAATTTATACTAGAAGACGAAGATTATTTGAAACATGTGGTGTATTCGCACAATACATTTCGAACAGTCTGATCACACACACATTTACTTGTCAAGTGAATTTATATATGAAAATGAAAGGATAAAGGTCAAATATGTTATAATCACATAAGGACTACCAAGGTAAAATGAGTGAAACAACAAAGTATTTTTCCGCGCTTGACGGAGGCTAAGTTTTACGAATCTATAAGGACCTCCAAAACATCATAATCCACTATGCCCAATATTGTCAATGTCTCAGTCTCCAACACAAATTAGCAAAATGGTAAACAGAAATACTGAGCCCGAATGGGATTGTTTTGTGTAAGTATTCATTGAAAGATACTTCTGAATTTGTTGATTGTCTTTCTGATATGAATATCAGAGGCAAGAAAGTGTATTCTTTGGATATCAACTCTTTATTTACTAATATATCCCTAAAGAAGATAGTTAACATTCCTTTCGATTATTTATCCTCCAATTATCCTTCCTGCTCGATCTCCAATGTATTTGAAAGAGCTACTTCTTTCGTACACCGATAAAGTTCATTTCACTTTCGAAGGTGAACACTTTCTGTAAATTGATGGTGTTGCTATGGGGAGTCTATAATGACCGTTATTAGCAGATGTATATATGTCACATATTGAACTAATCAGTAATGTCACATTCTATAGAAGGTATGTTGATGATGTCATTGTAGTATGTGATACAGGTGAGGATGTCCGGGATTTATTAAAAAGGTTTAATGGCGTACAAGATCATATCAGCCTAACGTGGGAAGAAAAAAATGACCATCAACTTGCATTTCTTGATATACTCTTGTATTGGAGGGAAGACATATCTATCACACGATCAATATATAGAAAGCCTACTTGGACAGGATAGCACTCGAGTTTTTACAACTTTTGTTGAATGAAATATAAGAGAGGCTTAGTAAGATACTTATTCAATAAGATCCAGCCTATTTGTGTATTTGATACAAAAGATGATGAGAGACAATTTCTGACAGACACACTTAATAGAAAAGGATATCCATCACAGTTCGTGAACCGTTGTAGAAAACAGCTAACCCCGAAGCCTATAATTTCCTCGGTCCCGAAGAAGGGTATATTTCTTAAAGTTATGTATAGAGGAGAAATGAGTAGTATGATATTGAAATAGCGATTAAATTCTGTTCACAGTAAAGTATACTGTGCGACTAAGTTTATCATTGTTGAGATAACAAAAAACCTGCTTCGCCACTAACCTCAACCTGGCATAAATGATTATGTCACATCCCATTGTGTTTACTAATTTACGTGTATGTGTGGGTATACTTACATATGGTGCAGTAATCGTTCAATGCAGACTAAGGCGGGTGAAGATACGCCTAAGTGGCTTGAAAAGCAATTTAACTTTGAAAAGTCCAGGTGACAGGCATCCATATTCATCTACAGCAAACTATATCATCGAAATGAATCCTAACGCTATCACAAAAACAGCATTCAACGTATTATATAGGAACAGTCAGGGGCGCATACTGAAATTTCCTGAAGCGTTAGCCATTCATAAACTTAAGCCCTCACTGTTTGTACGTAGGCAATTTGTTGTTTCACTCATTTTACCTTGGTAGTCCTTATGTGATTATAACACGAAGACTAGTGTCACAACCTCTTTCATATTCATCATATTTGACCTTTTTCCTTTCATTTTCATATATAAATTCACTTGACAAGTAAATGTGTGTGTGATCAGACTGTTCGAAATGTATTGTGCGAATACACCACATGTTTCAAATAATCTTCGTCTTCTGATAACCTTATCGGAATACTAATTATGATTTGCTCTACAAGAGCAGATATACTGAAGACTATACATGGATATAGTCCAAAGTGGCAATTTTTCCTTCATATTACCTTGAATCAACTGTTTGCTGGAGGAGTAATTTCGCAGTTCGGTGGCATAAAACGTTTTTCTGAAGGCTGAGGAGACAGGATTCTTTAGTATTTCTTCTGCGTTGTCCCTTTGAATTTAATGGTCATGAATCATGTCTCCCTAAGAACACTTAGAACTTGTTCTTGCCATTATTTCGGTTTCTTGTTTTTTTTCCGATGAACTTTTGGGGATAGCCACTTTATAGAAGTACTTTCAAAAGGCAATCCAACTCATCGTTCAATGTCTCACTTATCCGTTTTCTTCTTATCCTGATGCATAGTGAATGAATAAGGTTCCCACATATTAACCATATTACCCCCAATTTACCGTTGAAATTTTCATTACAAATATGATCGATAGAATTCGGTCTGCACTCAGGACTAGACAACATGAAATTCGTTGCACTCCCGTGACCAATCGATACATGTAAGCCAGTCCTACAGGAGGTCAATCGCGGCCCGAATAGCTCAGTGGTGAAGTTGCTGACTACAACACTGGGTGGCGTGGGTTCAAATCTCAGGCAGAACATCAGTTCCGTCGAGGATGCAGATACGCCTTGCTGACGAATGCCAAAAAGCACGAAACCTAGGTCAGGCAGGGCTTCCTACCGATTGCCTCCAACCAACTAACATCTACTAATGTGCACCGCGATGCTGTGCTTCCTATCTTGGTTGCCACATTGCAAATATGATCGATAGGGTTCGGTCTGAACTCAGGATTAGACAACATGGAACTGGTTGCACTCCCGTGACCAATCAATACGAAATTTCATAATACTTTTCTGAGTTTGTTGATAAAACTTAGTATGATTATTTTTGACTTGTTTATATTTTTCAATCTATTAGTCATCACGTCAATCTTCTGCATACACACACTTGATTACGCAACCCATTTCTAACTCTACAATCGATCCACTATCTCACCCTAGATCATTCCATCTTGATGACCTGGTGTTGACCTATTAGCCAGTGATATACTCATCTGTTTGTTTGTTATTACTAAAAGGCGAGGATTATATAGCTGCTGAAAATGATTAGTCAGTAAGAAAGTTTTCTTCGCTGAATTAATTTGTCTCTGAATGTGTCAGTCGGAGTTTTTCCTGCTGCCGAGAGGTAATAGTTGCTAAGACAACATAATTCGACAGCTGCTATAATATTCTCTAATCATCTTCTTTTGTTTTACCTCTGAATTCAAAGAGTAACTCTCGAGGTCAATCTACCAACTACTGAAATAACCAATTAGATTTCTTATTTCAATAAAAGGAAACCTGCTTTTTCAAACGAAACAAAGGTATCTGATTTGTCATTCTAGTTGATGTTAGGCTAGCCTTTAGAGTCATTTCAATTTAAATAAGACAGTCACTTGTGATCTAGAATGGACATTTAGTCTTACCGAAAGGCCTGACCGTATTAAAAGATGAAAAATATCTTAGGAGGTGAATTATTGTGAACAGTCGTTGACGTTGATGATGGTGATGATGAAGATAGTTTCAAAGTCAAAAATGGGAAACAGGATGAGTGACTTTAAAGACAAACCTATAAACAACTGAAATTAAGCAGTTCAACTTCTCTGTTGCATGAAAATCTGCCTTTCTAGCGGAAATGAAGAAACCTAGTTTATTATTTCAGTCGTTGCTAGCATGGCCTTCGAAGTCACCACAGGCTCACATTAGAGAGGAATTACAGTTTCTGTTAGATTTTGACTTGTGAAACAGGATCATATTATTGGGGACGTGGTGCACTATACACCATCTATGCTATAGAGATATAAACTGAAGTACAACTTATTGTAGACAGATCCCATGATACACTGACAAGTGATGAGAAAACGTTAGCCCATTAAACAGGCTACGTTGATTCATTGTTGTTTGGATGAAAAGGAATGCAATGAACTATCCAAGTGTTATAACTGACTTGATTGCGACTAGCTGGTGATTTCAGGAAGTGCATTACGTCCTAGTTATGACTCATTAGCTGGATACGCCTTCACCCCAGTGAGTAATATTGTCCCCAATCAAACACAAACGCAGCACCAAGTCAGTTGTAACGATAAATATTTAAGCAATATCAAGACATCTGCATGGGTGCTTATATGCCAATGCAGGTAGATCATTTTGATCCAGTATAACAGTGGGGAATTCCAAGTACATCAGCAAACATTCGAGTGTTGATCTCTAGATGCTAACACTACATTTTCCGATAATAGGCAAAAGACGTGCTGCGTATTTTTTCTCTAGCATGCTTATGTCTTCTCGTCTTTAACAGCCAGACATTCGAACTTTGAAGTTTTCTGAAAGTCATGCTGAAAAACTTGAAGTTTGTTGGATGTATCCGTCTATACAAATTCACATGTATGTAGATCCAGTAAGTGTGGTATACAGACGGGAAATTAAAGCTAAGCACATTGTTGTACATTGTATAATTGAATCATTTTCCATACCTTCTATTGTTTTGTATGAGACAACAATGACAATATTATCCTGACTGTAGAAAGGC